TCAACACCAGCATTTGCAGCCCTCCTTCTCCTCATCGCCTGAGAATCCTTACCAAAAACTAAGATGGAATAAGATAAAAGAACAAAAGGAAGGGATTCTGAGGTGCTAATGGTGGAAGGTGTGAGAGTCAGTAGAAAGTACAGTAAAGAAACCCATGACAAGTCATGATAAATGGGTCGTTATAAAATTCATGTTTAGGCTGCACCAGTCTGGGGATAATGCCATTCGTCATGGCAACACTGGGGCACTAATGAGCCCTCATTGCATATTCATGGCTTTGGCGCCTCTCTCCTCTCTCTGCCTCCCTCCCACCCCCGAACCAATGCCTGGTAAATATCTCCACCTCAAGCTGAAACTCGACTTAGGCTGCCTTTTTTTTTTTTTTTTTTTTTTTTTTTTTTTTTTTTTTTTTTTTTTTTTTTTTTTTTTTTTATTTGTTATGTTGCAGCAATTACACTGTAAAAGTGCTGCACAAGATTGATTGCTCTGATCTGTAGTTCAATTGTAAATTAGAATACACATCCCCCTGGGGACACACGGCCCCTATTTGTGATTAAGAAAAAAGCCCCATAATAGACTAATAGCTAAAGTTCTCTCTCTTTTACTTTCAGGCAATTAGCTTGATGAAATGGCCTCTTTTTGTGTACCCTGGAAGTGTAAACCGATATCATAATGAAGTATATGATGTTTATTCTATTATTTTCACCTTGCCATGTATGCAGGAATGCATAAATAATAGCTGCTTTGTCTAGTACATTTACTGATTCAGAAGTAAACTCTGTCTTAAAGATGCAGAGTGTGATCCCTTAGCCTTCTGTTAAGCTGGACACTGTGACTAGTCCTTACAAAAACTCACATTCTGCCCAAAGAAGTTGGAGAGCATTTTTAGCCAGGTGATTAAATACTGTTTGCAAGACGCTTTCATTTATGACAAACCTTAATTGGAAAATCCTCCTAATAACCTTGTAAGGAAAACAAGGTATGTCCATTTCACAGAAAGGAAAACTGAGGGGCAGATGCTGAAAGCGTTAACACAAGCCCACACAGGACCTTAATAAGTACTTAAGAAATCCTACCTCCTGGAAGGTTTTTTCAGGCAATCAGAAGCTCCCTTTCCTCTCTCTTGTAAAGTTATTAATGCTGTCCTGGATGGGTCATGGAGTGGCTCTGACCTTAGTCTTCCTCAAAGACGTACAACTCCGCGGTGTCACGGTTGCCTTCATCCCCACGTGACACACACAGGCCAAAGCTCTTTCACCTGAATCCAAGGTGGATATGGTCATGCCCATTCTCAGTATCATATGTGGGATGTTGGCTTTCCCAGGGCTAAATTTGAGCTGTCAGTCTGAGCCAGTGAGTGGTGTTGTGCAATGGTGTTATAACGCAGGGATGGTGTTCGTGCAGTTGAGCTCCAGATAAATATCTGGGAAGAAAACTGCCATGTGATGATAGCTCTGGGCATATCTGCCTGGTGAGGAAAGGCTTCTGCATTAGCCTTTCACTTGGCCCAGGAGTGCACTTTGGAAGAGAATCCTCCAAATAACCCTGCTTACCCCATCCCACCAGGCCAGGCAGCCTCGGAGCACGCAAACGGAATTCTTGTGTGTGGAATTAAAGCAGGTGATGTGGTCTGGGAGCTGCAGCAGCTAATGGGAATTCAGTCCACGGCAGCATGCTAGGGCTAGTCTGAGGAAACCTCTCAGCAAAGCCAGTCCCTGCTCCTCAGACTGTTCTTTGCCTATTTGCTGAGTGGAGCAGGGTTCCTATCCAAGGAGTTATGACAAACTTGGATAGTGTGGCAGGGAGGGCGTGCGAAATGGCCTGAAAATCCTGCCTGAGGAAATGCACTGCTTTCTGTATAACCCCATCAGTTTGCCTGCAATAGAAATGTCTCCATTTAGTTTAAATTCTGTGTGAGATGGGTTCTGTTGGGGAATATAACAGAGCTTGGAAACATTTTGCTAGGAAGCACTACTAGTGCAAACCTTCAAAGGGTAACTCTGTACATGGCTACAAAACCATATTCTGTTTAAACTTGTTCATCATTGTCTTCTTGCATGACAGCCCTGGCATTTAAAATATGTTAGGGGTGACACAATACTTTCACCTGGTGCAGACATATATCACTGGAAGGATGTTCTCATAAACAAAGTGCTGCAGGCTATGATCTTATCATTCTCCTCTTCCTTCTTCTCAGCTCAGTTCAATGACAAACACGTATTTCTCTTCTTTGCTGCAGTTTCTGCTCTACGGGAGCCTGGTGTTGGAGCAACAGGTGATGTTGCAAATCAGGAATGACAAGCGTTGGTGGTGGCCTGGTGGGGGGGAAGCATCAGAGGGGGCAGAAAACAAATGCATCAAATGTTATCCTGGTTCAGCTGGTGCAGTTCCACGGCAGGAGCAGAAGCGCACTCGCGTGCATGCCTGCACACGCGTGAGTTTTTTTTTGAGAAAGACAAAGCAAATTAGAGTGTTCATGTGTAATTAGCTGACTATTAGTGTGGTTCAGCCAAGGCAATAGGCAGACAGTTAACTTGAAGATAGCTCGCAGATAAAAGGGCTGGGGAGGGTGTTCTGGGGAAAGCTGGAGGTAATAGTTCAGAAGATAAAATCCTGACAAATTGAGCAGGCATCTCAGAAGTTCTTTCCCCACACCATTAGCACAGTGAAGCTACACAGGCTTTCCTTCTCTACCCTACAAAGATTAACCCTTCAGAGCATCTGGGGCTCTTTGTCCTTGGATAGCTCACTTCCAAATTATTTAAGAATTATAATTTTCTGTTTAAATGCATTAGTTTGAAATAAAACTGTGAAATTTCCTGTTCGTGCTTTCTGCCCTCCTTCTGGTGCTAGCATATGAAACAGAGATTATCACCCCTGTAGAAGCTGGAGTACCTCCAGCTCTTTATCTGAGAGTGCAGGTGACCAGGTCTAGTAAGAGCATTATCATCAAGCATCACACCTGGGGAGAAACCAACAGTGTGTCCGAGTTCAAGTCTTTGCAACTTCTGTGAAAATGTAGGTGTTTTAGTAAATCTCTGCACTAAATGAAAATGTCATTATAATTTTCATTCATTTTATAGCTGACAGGGAAGTGCTTTTTCCCATCCTTTGGGAGTTTTCAAGATTTCACTTTTTTTCAGCTAATTCTGTGGCTAACCAATAAGCTGCTAAAAAGTGAAAAATCTAACTGAGCCATTTGCTTCAGTCGTTTCAAAATATTTCATTTTTTTACTTTCACTTATAAATTAAAAATTAAAATCAAAATATATTTCAAAGCAAATATATGTTCACTTACTACAATATGTATTGGGACCCTTACAATGATTTTGAAAAGTCTTTAACATCTTTTTTTCAGCGGAGAAGCTTCATGAAAACTGCATGATTCAATCCAAATCTTTTTACTTGTTTGGCATTTTCCAGAACAAAATTCTCCTGGACATAATCTACTTTTGTCATTAATTCAAAATATCAGGTTGTTCTTGCTTGGGATGACTTCCTAGAAAAAATAATTGAGAACTTCATGCTGAGTTGATCCAGCAGTGAAATTCTCAAATACTGCTGTAATTATCCATACTTCTGAGTATCCATTAATGGAAAACTTACATTTCTCAAAGGTCTATGAGAATCCATATCCCTATGGCTCCTTCCATTCCTCTCAAACAGGATTGACTAAAAGTGAAGTTGAAGTAAAAGTTTATCATAGGTTTTACACAACCTGTGCACTATTTCTCTGTCAGTGTGTAAACTCTGTAGCAAGACTGTTAAAACTTTTTCCTGCAATGAAAATGCACTCAAGCTATTTCAGATGAGATGTTCTTTTCTGTCATGCCAGACACAGAATTCACCAAACACACAGGAAAACCTGCACTGTTGGGTAGGTAAAGCCATATTCACTGAACAAAATGCTATTTTTTGCAGGCAATAAATCACTTCTCAGGGTACAGCTAGCAACTTTTGGTTCATAGCTCTTCTTTAACCCCCAAAATAAAATTTCCACTGCTACTTTTAACGCTTGTTTGTTCAAGCCTTGTGTAGGCATTTGTCACGAGCAAAATTTGGAGTAAATTCTCTACAGAAGAAATGTGGAATCAAGAGTGGGCAAGACTGTGTTGGTGTTTCTGTTCATCTTGAAGGAGGGAACCTTCTGCTGCAGATCTCAAGTGATGCTCGAGAGGAAGAACAGCACATACAAGGAGGAGAGCCAAGAGCCTGCCACTAGAGAGAAACCCTGGGGACAGTGTCAAGGTAAGGGCCCTTACCAGCCACTCAGCAAATGCTTTCTTTGTGACTTTTACTGCCCCACTTACCTTCTTCCCACGTCCTGTCGTTTTCCTCATCCCATTTTGCACAATGACAGGAAAGCCTGTGGTTTTACACAGGTTTCTGGAGAGAGGAGCAAGCTTTCAAACTGCTTACCTCGGCTAAAAACAGGGGTTGGGTGACACCAGAGGTCCTGCAAGCCCCTTACCCCTCACCTGAGGAGGGGCTCAGGGAATTTTGGGTGTTCAGCCTGGAGAAAAGGAGGCTCAGGGAGGACCTTGTCACTCTCTACAACTCCCTGCCAGGAGACTGCAGCCAGGTATGGGCCAGTCCCTTCCCCCAGGTAACAAGCGACAGGACAAGGGGAAGAAGTCTCAAGTTGCATCAGGGGAGGTTTATGTTTGATATTAGGGAAAATTTCATCCCTGACAGGGTGGTCAAGCATTGCAACAGTCTGCCCAGAGAAGAAGTGCAGTCACTATACCTGGAGGTCTTAAAAAAATGTGTGGATATGGTGCTTAGGAACACCATAGAGATGGACCTGGCAGTGTTGGGTTAATGGTTGAACTGATGATCTTAGAGGTCTTTTCCAGCATTATTGATTCCATAATTCTATGGCCCCTGTGGCAGAAACTCCCAGCAGATATACAGAAAAATGTCAGAAGTCAAACTAATTCTTCTCATGAGGTACTTTCCCTATTCCTATCACTCAGTGCATTAGAGACTGGCAATAGAAGTTGAATAAAACAAGAATGTTTAATGGCATTCTAAGTTGATTATATTTTTGGTATTCTTTTGGCAGAAAGTCCTGCAATTTAATTAACTAATTGTGCTGCATGACAAAATGTTATTCACTTTAAACCCCTTTTGCTCCTATTAACATAGTCTATAAATATTCCCTTCCTAAGAACGTTCTCCATAACATTTGCCATGGTATAAACCTCAGCCACCTCCTTCCAAAGAGTTCTAAATTTATCTAGTTTATCCTGGCATGGAAGCAGATACATACAATTACTGACAAGACAACCACTATCAAACCCAACTGTTGTTACTGAGGCTGAAATGCTTCCAAAAATTAATTATTTAAAATAATCCAAACGGTGCAAATATCCAAAGATCAGGCAGATCTATAAAACTTGCCTGTAGCAAAATCATGCAATTAGAATCATGCTCATAAGTGTTGCAGTCTTAAAACATTAATGGAAGGAGTTATTAAAATTGTATTTGATTTGCATTATTACAACACTGAATGCACTATGGAAAACTGAGTCCATGAGTGAGATGCAGCACAAACCAGAGCCTTATTATCTGAATTGGAACTTTAAAATAGACCATGCTTTGCAGTTCTGCCCGAATTTTCTTTAGTTTTATTGCTCTTCTAAATTGATAAAGACTTCTGGTTTTATATTAGAAATAGAAAATGAAGAGGAGGATAAGAAAATAGTTGTAGATAAAGACTCAGAAAAACAATTTGAGAAAAAAAATAGTCCTTCTCAAAGTAAGTAAATTTCATCAGAAATGAGATGTGCTGTTTTGATCATAACTGCCATCAAAAGCCCCAAGAAATGCAGAGTTTCTGTAGACAACCTAGAAAAAAGTTGCCCCAAATGTGGAAGCAATTATAAAGAAATTCATGACTCATAGTAAGAATTCCTGGTTTTATTTCCATTACAAATAGACTGTAATTTGTGGATCTCTATCTGACATCTTTTTATTGGGCACTTACCCTCCCTGACACGTTTATAAAATTACCTGTTTCATTAGTGGGACATCATCAGCAACTCCAATGCACAAATTTCACCTTTAATCCAGTAGGAAACAAGTCTGTTAAAGTCAATGGAATAATTTCTATCATTTCCAACAGAAATAGGGATAAACCTGTGAGGGTTAAAAAAGATATATATATAACCACTATTACGAAGTGTAAGAAGGAATACAGGGAATTTTCTTTGCAACTGAGATATTTTTAGGTTTTTTATTCTTTAGAATCCCTGTACAGGCACGTCCCTCATGCACAGTTGTCAAAAATAGTGTTTAGGCATTTAGACTCAAGTTGATTTAATCCAGTACAGAAGTGTGCTCTAAATTTTCAGGGCAGTGAAAATGTGTAAAAATGGTGTCCTCATGTTCAAATGCTTCATTTCATTTATAAGAACTGCACCAATAAATTAAATAAATCAGAGTATTTCTATTTAAAATAGAAATAGTGTCTTGTGGAAAAAATACTCTTTCTTCTGAACTTAAAATATGCTTTAAAATTCAGTATTCACATCCTTAGCAGGTGTAAATCATCACAGAAATTATGCTGTTACACTTTACATGATATTACCAAATTGTCTTTCTGGTAATTAAGAATATCCTCTATGGAATAAGGACCAATGACAGGAGAAAGTATGAGTTGATATTGTCTCAGCACGCATAAGTGGTAGACAGAAATATTCATGTGCATAATCTTACACCTTCCCTACATGATACCCAGTGGGCTAAAGTAATAGTGTACAGAATTATCTTTAAAAAGGCAATTCTCAACAGAAACTAAAATATCTTATGAGTTGTCTGTGTTTCTCATAATTATACATGGCAAAAATGAAGATAAAACTAACAGGCATGCTCTTGGAAAATGTTTCTTTAAAAATGTTTCTTTTAACTTTTAGCATATTATACTCAAATGGTTTCCAAGCCTAAATTGCATGTATTTCATTCCAAGAAAATCAGTATCCCTTTCTCCATTTCTTTTCATAGGTCTATCATATCTATAGCATACAGCCCAGGGAAACCAGGGTCATTCCTTTTACTCAGGAAGGTAATGAGGATGTTCTGATCAAAGATGAAATTTCTGAATCTCTGGTGTAAATTTCAGGGGAAAGGCATCTCTGAATTCAACAGATGCTTCCATGCAGAGCCAAACAGCCACTGTAAAGCACAGTTCCTCAAACTTATTAACAGAGAGTCTTTTCCAGAATCAAACTTTTCTTTAAAATTCAAGTGCTCTCCTTCCTCAGCATTAAAAATAAATCTCTTCTGATTCTTGTGAAAATTATTTTCAACTCCTTCCTTGAGGAGATGTCCATTATGAGCAGCAGAGGCTTAGGGCTGGAATTTAGAGGTGTTCATGAAACATGCTCTGAGCTATGTGTTCAGCTCCTGGCTCTCCCCAGTATGCTTTGGTCTTTAGAAAACACTTTTCTTTAATTCCAGTTAACTTACCATGAGGATACAAGGTCTAAATTCCATGTAACATGATGTTACATCCATGGAACACCAGCATTCAACTGATGACCAAGTCCCTGTTTTCTCATTTTGGATAAAAAAGTCAATATTGGTTTCACTATCCCCACAAAAAATTTGTAAATAGTCAACTGAGAGAGGAAAAATACAGTGCATAGTGGTGAATGATGCTTGGATGCATGTGTTTAAGATGTCCTATTAGTGCAGAGTAACCAGAATCATGATGTCATAAACATATGACATTAAAAGGCCAAATATATTAAGACTAAAAACCACTTTGTATAGGTTACTTGTGGGCATCCTTTTGGAAGATACTGAGGGATAGTCTAGATCCTAGCAGGAACCAAGAAAAAACTAGGCATATATGTGTACATATAGGATGAGTCTTTGATCTCATATAAAATGTAGAAAGCATAAAATACTGTGTATTAGAGGTCCCCTGAGCAAGAACTATTATCTAGGCATCAACTGCAAACACATTACCATTGGAAGACTTATTCCAAGGTATGAAAAAAATCCACTAACAGCAGGAAAGAGAAAGATTTGAAACTCCTCTGGAAGCCCTCAGAAGCAAACCAGGATGCCTCTGTGTAAGGCAGGCTCCAGCAGCACGGCCCCTCCAGGAGCCCTGATCAGGCACTTTCCTGATCTTCATGTCTGCACACTCCAAGAAGGGACTTGCTGAATATTTGCATCTTTCTGAAGCTGCTTAATGTGTGAGGCTCTTTTTTCATCTCTTGGTATCTTGTCTTCTCGTGGAATGCAGAGAAGTGTAGTATTTTTTTTTCCTTATTAATATAAAAACAAGTAACAAGTCAACCAAGTTACCATTACAAATAACACCTCACCTGTTGTAATGCAGGAAGAATTTTTTTTATACAGAGGGAAATTCTGTGTCCTGCCTACTAAATGACAGGCACAAGCAGTTCCTTCTGTATGGCCCCCAGTGACCACATCCCATTTTATACACATTGGAGCTTTTCAAACTTCCAGAGTTTTGTGTTTAGCAAAGCAGATGTGCAAATGGAGATCCGGGTGACCTTCCCTCTGAGAACCAGGCCTTTGACACACATTACTCCCCTGCTGACAGCAGGAGAAGTGTGGATCAGTTGGCATTTCACACCTGCAACTAATGTAGAAGTTGTAACAATATGAGTGAGCATTAGGGACAGAAGGGATCCTTTGGACATAAACCAGCTATATTTAACAGGAAAGGTGCAAATCCACATTATGACTCAGGATATGTATTAGCTGCAGCCCTTCTTTAACCTAGAAAGAAAGAATTATATCCAAGGGAACTTACCTCAAAGAGTTTCTCTTTCCTCAGGCAGAAGTGATGATTAGGCTAAAAGTGGCCATTTGTTTTATCTGTGGGTCGGGAATAGACAATTTAGTCCTTGCAGCTTCAGCTGCCTTGGCTCAAGATCCTGATCTACAATAAATACCTCTTCCAATCAATAGAGCACTGAACTTGGAGTAGAGCCCAGGACCTTTCCCAGAAACTTTGGCCTGGACTGAGCTGACCTGGTAAATCTGCAGGGTTTGGGGAGAGCTCTCACTTCATATCCCGAGTTCTTCAAGTCCTCTCTGCCTTGGGAAGTCTGTGCCTCCAGTTAGGCTGCTGGGGACAGGAATTACAACAGCTTTTCTCATGCTGTTTTCTTGTTGGTGACACATGCTCTGCACTGCTCCTTGGGCTTTTTGGACCTTCCTAATGCTGCAGCACATATCCTACAACACTCATCACTGCTCAGAGCTCTCTTCACTGAAGCAGGGCTATCAACTGCAGAGCAATTGGGGTTAGATGTATCTGCTCCCCCATTTAGGAGCAGCAAATTTTGTTGGGTGGACAGAAAGGTACCACTGTCCTTTGTACCAGCATGGTCTAGCCCTGGGAGCTCATCTCCTGTGGATGAATTCTGGAGGTTTCTTTTTCTGGAGGTGTCTAAAGGTGGCTGCTCTGATTCCTCCCTACAGCCTGATGTCTTCTGCCTTTTTTCCTGCCTGAGAAATGTCACAGTTGTAAATGAGCAGTTTCAGCTCCTCCTGCCAGGGTGGGAAGGGGCCACAGCAGCACATCTCTCCTTGAAAAGCCAGGGTGCAACCCCCACCAAAATGTGCCCCTGGGCAGTTTCGTGACATTCAGCCTGAGAAAGGAAACCGGTTTGTCACCTCTTGCTTAATGGTGTCACCTCAAGGCAGAGCTGAGGAGCACCTATGGGCACGAGAGATAAGATTGCATTATTAACACTGAATTCATCGTGTTCTGAAGGTCACAATCATAGAAGAGCTTGGGTTGAAAAAGACCTTAAAGATCACCTAGTTCCAAGATATTCTATTTTCCAGCCTCAAAATGTGATACAACATTAAAAATGTGGTGAGAGTCTCACTTACATAAATGTTAATTTATAGATTCTCCTACCAAAGAAAGTAAAGCATCTCTCCCAAGTCATCTTCCTGATTTCTCTTAGGAGATACAGCAGCTCCAAAGTGATGTGAGCTGTCGTCATCCATGACCCTTTGGCCCGAGAACTGTAGGAAAACATAGAAAAGGTGTTCTTAATCCAGAATAACATAAACTACAGATGAAGTATGTGTGAATACTTTTGTGTAAGGTGATTGTATGCATGTACTCTGCAAAATGCATTTTGGATGTAGTTTAGAAAAGTAGTGTATACAATTCAAAGTTACCAGGAATATTAAAATATTAATATGCAGGGAGGGCACAGAAGAGACAAGGGAAATTGTAGATAAAGGCAGGAAAAAAGGAAAGATAATAGATGTGGAGACAGTTAAGAGGATGACAGGTGTGACAGGCAGGATCAGGTAGGAAAAATCCAAATGGTTCAGAAGATGGAAAAATGCCTTTCTGGCATTGTACCTTTAGTTTGTTTTACCACAGTGGTGTTACAGTTCTTTTTCTACTGCTACTACAAATACAGCACTGAAGTTCTCCTGATTAGTTTTTTTCCCCCTGTGTAAGATGTCCTTTATGCTGGGATGAGATCATTTGTGTATTAGTTCATTTTAATCTTTTCAGAAGGAATCCAGGAACTGCGGTGAGGTCATGACTGCAGTAATGTCTAAAAGGATGGTTTTATAGAGGAGGGGAGAAATATTCCTCTCATTTAGCAAAACTGTAACAGAATTTGTGGCTCTCAAGTGTGTTGGACAAGTTAAGGTTTGGGTTTTTTTCCTGTTGCATGTGTTTGCAAAAGACAGCCTGCTTCATACTCTTGTTTATTCCCTAAGTATTGCATAAATCTAATAAAGGTTGCAGACAAAGCACCCTGTTAGAACTCCACCTGAACAATCCTCTAGCATCATCATCCCAACCCAGTCTTACAGTCAAGAGCAGGGTAAAAAACCCAGACTCCTCTGATGGCCTGAGTGTCCTCACATTAGACCTTCTGTACCATTGAGAACATCCTTATTCCCATCTCTTTCAAGGAGAAAAATCCTTAAGACATCCCCCAGGACCACGGTGTCACTCTTTAATATAACATATTTGTGCCTCATGGATCAACAGAACAATGTCAGGCATGAATTTGGACCGTGACATTTCAGGCAATGACCCAAAAATAAAAGTGCCAAATTTTCACTGTTACTCTGATTTTCACCTCCAGTCTTTTCCACTCTCTGTGGAACTGACAAGACTTAATGATATAATTCTGAAAGGTCTGTGGATGGATTTTGTACTGGAAAAAGACATGTAGACAGATGGAATCACGTCTCTTGCTTTGCCATGGACAGTGTATTATATTTTAATGTGTTCTAATGAACTTTAAAATTATTCCCCAGCATGCATTGGTCAGAGGGTTTATTCTGAGTGTGACATCTTCCTGGATCCTTGAGAACATTCCTTCTGGATCTGTTGGGTCAACAACAGAGTGGTGATAACAAATACACAGCTGCTTTAACCCAGCACTGTGCTTTCCCCCTCTTTACTAAGTGGATTTGTGCATACTAAGAGTTACACTGCTCCTCTTTTAGCAACTTCAGGGCATTAGTCAAACTGCTCAAAACCAGTTCCCCTTTCATATCTAGAGACCAAACATCTTGGATGATCCATGGGACACAGAAGATGCCACAGGCTTAGTTTTGCTCCAGGGGTTTAAGAGATTTAGTTACCTAGAGAGGAGTGGGAGATTAATGGTGCTCGTTGATGGTGACAGGGACCTGTGTGCTCTAAATCCCATCACAAGCAGAGAGGAACCCACCTCTACACACCACTAATATGCATAACTATGGAAAGTCTTTTAAATAAAAACGACTAATTAATAATGCTAAGTGGTCTAGGTGTCTAAGTATGAATTGTCAGGGATTTCTGCAGGCTTAGGGAGGTGGGGAAATGGGTTAACATCGCATTGTTTCAAATTACAGGCTTTTAGATTGTTTCAAAGGAGAAGCAGAGAGGGTTTCCACGCCAGATTTGAGACGTTTGTTATCTTTTATTTGTACTAAAATTTCAGCTTCAGCTCACATTGTCATTCTACCCAGGCTGCTTCCCAGACCAGCTAATTTGTCTACCTGTGTTCCATTTTAGGCCTTGGTTTTAATTTGAGGATGATTCCTGCTAATACCAAAGACTGGATAGGACATCCATTAAAAGTCTACACAGCAATTGAAATGGAAAATTCCAAAAGAAACCCTATTAGAGTTTTTCTCCATCAAATCAACATTACAGACTTCTTATGCATTTCTTAATTAGACATTGATATTAACTGGACTGTTGCATGATTTAAATCTAGCTCTTAATCTCAGCTATTCTATGCTGCTGTAGTTTTTATGACATCCAACTAGCGACTGCTTTATGCATTAATCTATCTGGAAAACCACCTTCACATTTTTTTTGTCTTTTTTTAGAAGAATAAAGGCCCCAAGAAGGAAATGAAAGCTTTTGGGTTCAGCCATTAGTAATTTTCTGCTTAGTATTTGAAAAATTGCTTATTTTAATTGCTTCATAGAAGAAAAAGATATCAAAGCTAACGTTCTTTCTCTCCAAACTTTGTAATTATTTCTCTCAGACTCTTATTTGAAATGCCTTGAAAGGATTTTCATTGAAATGTAGATTTCTTCTCTTTCAAAAGTACTTTTATTCCCCCGTGCTTCTTTCCCTTTTTTTTCCTAGTGACTTCCTCTCTAGATTTAGAGCAAAAACATAGTCTCCAATGTCTGGACACTGCAGCATGTGTCACACAGATGTCCCTAAAGTGACATCTTCTTTAAACCTAACCTTCCCATGGCCTATAGACTGCGCTGACAATTTGCCTTAGGTCTTAGTCTGGTACCCTTGGGCTTCCTCCAGGGGTAGGGAAGAAAAGTCATAGGTGTTACAGGGGTTTGCTCTATCAGACTATACTCAGTCTGAAAAGTATTGTGTGATTTGCTAATTAATATCACCACTAACATTAGGAATCTAATGGAAAAATCCTATAAATATGATTGAGGGGGTCAGTGAGCTGAAGACAAGGCACAGGTAAGCCTTGTATAATTTTGGGTTCTGATTCCAGCAGTGTAAATCCTGAATATCCTAATCCAGAAGGGAATTTGCTAACCAAACCCTGGAGCTAATTCTGCATTGTATTTAAATGTCAGTGGCACAAAGCCTCAGGTTCACGTTGGCCTCCACAGTAATCCTGGATACCAATACAGCAATAGTAGCAAGAAGTTCTTTATTCCACCTATACATTTTCAGGGAGCATTATTTACTAATAGATTATGATCTGGTCAAAATGATCTATACATTCATTACATCTGGAGTGGGCTTTCATAACTCACAGGACCTAAGAATGAGGCAAAACTCACATTTGTTTATAGTGCTGCAATTCTGCTCAGCAAAAAAAGGTGCAGAGAAAACACTGTCCTAAGCACTTGTGGTCTGCACTGAGTCCCAGGTGATTTCTCATGCCAGCTCACAAATATCTTTAAGAGCCTCAGAAGAGTGGGGACCTGGCTGCCTCAGAGCCAACTCAAAATACAGTTGCTCCTCTGCAGATCAGTCACCCCACAAGCCTCGAGCAGTCTTGGCTGAGGTTATCTCCCAGGGGGAATCTTCCCAGTGGAACAAAACATTTTGAGAATGGAAGATTGAAATGAAGCTAAAGCATTCTCAGTATCAGATTTTGCACACATTTATTTTGCAATAACACAAAAGGAAGAAAGAGAATAAGAAAATGAGTTAGAGGGAGATGGAGAGAGAGATGGTCTATTAAGCAAAGCTACATTTTTACTCTCTGAATTTACAGTCCTGATAGACATCTTTTTCCAAAATTACTCATTTTTTATATTCAGATACTACAGCTTTCAGTACTGGGTCCTAGATTTGTCTGGACAGATTACCCTCTTATTTCCACAATGAAACTTAATTACCCTTTTTATGTCTTCAGATACTTTCAGTTATTTCCTGAACTGTTTCTGGGGACAGAGAGCAGCTGATGGGTCAGTCAGTAAAGTAAATACTGTGCAGCCCTACTGTTTTTAAGGTAAAAGCCCTTTGGCCCCAGGTCTTTTTAGAATATTTTGAGGGCTAGTACATGTAATTTGCTCAGATCTACTTTTTCTGAGCTTTTTTTTTTTTTTTTTTGGTGTGTGTGACTAGGCAGAAACTCATAATTTTCTCAGCACCTTTCTGTGTATTACTTGGAAGCATGCAAATGTGACTAACTCACCTGGAATCCATAGAGGGATATTTGAATGCGTCATCTCTGAGACAAGAATAACTCCTCATGAAATCCAGGGTGGAAATGACTGCGTGGTTTCAAACACCCCTTCCTGTACCCCTGCTGCTGCTGCAGCAAGAAGGAATGCATCTGAGCATTTAAAGCCCAAATGAATAAATAAATTGGTTCAAAGCAATGGTAGGAGTACAGAGGGATGTGGAAGTTGCTGGTATGGAGTATTTACTAGACTTTAGGACACTCTGTAGGTTTCATCTGTAAAGAAACCTATAATACATGACCCACTGTCACTACCTTCTGTGTGAGCAGAGCTAACACAGAGCAGTCAACATGAAAATGTCACCTAAGATAACCCAGGACCTGCAAGTACTGAAGAGAAAATTATAATGAGTATCCATTCAGACTTCGAGAGTTATTTTTTAGCTTTTATTTTTTTTTAAAGTCTCAGTTGTTCAAATTAGAAAGTAAAGAAGTGTTACAGCTAATTAAAATATAAATTGGCTAGAGAAAATCACCCGAATCATCAGGAAGTAGAGAGAGAGAGCACAACTGGGCATGTGTTATAGAATCCTTTATGAATGAAGTGCTAAATCCTAAAGGGCTGACCTGGCAAAATAGAGCAGGTGTTTCTGTGGTACCCAGGTACACTTTACTGGGTTGAACAAGTAGTGGTCAAATGCAGTTTAACTAGGCTAGGATGAACAACAGACTTTGTATGGACTTTACACATTGTATAAACCCCAAATTAAACAAAAGTTCTCTTACCCTGGCACAGCATTCACACTGCAGTCGCATACCTGCATGGAAGTTTCTTCGTTTAAGTCCAGCTTGTGACTCCAGCCTGAAAGCAGGAACCAGGATGGTTCAGTATCACCGAGTCTGTCATACCAAAACCAGAAATTAAGATGTCACTGCGGTATAAAACACAAGTTTCTCTGTCACACCCAACCTACATTTTCTCCACATGAGTTCATCATATTCAGTTTCCACTATCCTGAGAGAACAGATGATCTGTTTCCTATAAATACAATAAAGAGTGCTTCAAATGACATGGCATTTTTTCAATTCATCATTTCGGTGATTCAAAATAAGTGTGAAAAGAAAAGATGCTGAAAGCACCGAGCAGCAGGAGCCAGGACTGAAGTCCTCAGGAGGCTGAGTCCCCATTTTTGCTGTTGATGGATTCTCCCATCTCAGGGAGATGGTTCAGGTTCTGCCACCTGAACCTTCATCCTGGGTGCATTTCCCTGCCTCCACAGGGTCCTGCAGCCCCGTGTGCTGCACAGTCTGCACAGCAATAAACTGGGTCCTGATCTCATCTCTGCCCTCACTCCCTGCAACTGGAAAAGGAGTGATAAAAAATAATAATAAGCCCAGAATAATTATGTATTGTCTTTATAGTGAAACAGGCCTTGAGCATTGTGAGCTCTCCACTGGGAGAAGTCCCATTTAAAAAATCTCCCTGGCATTAAAATGAATTGGATCCTGTTACATGAATGGCCTGCATTTACTATTCTTTTCACTTACCTTCTAGTGGTTCATTTTCTGAGCTTGCTTGTGCCTCTTCCCCTGCTGTCAGCAGGAACTGGGTAACAAGAACTTGCTGGAAATTGAGTGGTAAATAAATAAACAAACATAGAAAAAAAAAAAAAAACCTGCTGACTTGGCAGATACACTATTACAACCGTGATGTAAAACTCATCAAACAACAAATGCAACTTCTGAATGTCTCATGATTCACATCACAAGCAGTAAGGGAGGAAACTGAAAGAGGATTTTAATCAGTGATAATGAATTTAGAACAACACTGGATTTTCAGATCATAGGAAATTCAGGATGAGTCTGGGTTGAATTCTTGGTCTGAACCAGATATTCTTCTTCCTGTAGCCATCAGTCACTTCATCCATTATCTGTAAAAAGGCAGCACTCGGACTACCCCAATAGCAATGATCACTCAACTATAACCAAGAAAATCAGTCAGCATCTTTGCTCTAGGGTAAGGAAAATATTTGGACACTTCAGGAGTACTCATTTCTCCTCCCAAGAGCCCAACACCTCTAAGTGTGATACCAGGGCTCCTTGCTTCATCTGTTTCAATTTTGAAGCTCTTGGAAAAGGTAACAGTTCACAGCTGCTGCAATGGTCTTGCCCCAAGGAGATGGACAAAACAGAGCAGAGGCAGAAACACCACAAGTAACCTAACGGATGTTTTCTGGGGAAAAAAGGGAGATTAATTAAAGGGGAAAATCTGCTGGTCATTAAGTGTCCTGGAGCAACTATTGTGACACTGAAGCAGTGAGTTTCTGTGTGGCTTTAAGACATCTGCCCTAAGGACACATTTGCAATTGAAACTGTGTCCTCTTTTTCCCAAGTCTCCGATTCCCATGGGCCAGCAGTTGCCTTGCTAAATGAAATGCTTCTTCAGGGAGACTGGCTGGCCTCAGGGATTGGTAATGCAATATAGAGCCTTTCATCTCTCACCCATGAACCCAAGTCAAACAGAGTTTGGTAAATGGCCAATAACCCCTACCATTCCAGGGCTGTTTGGTGACCTGTGCGAAATGAGGAGGGTCATCTCTGTGTCTGTTTACTAGAAGGCAAGTGTCAACTTCACCATAAAAAAGGACACAGTTACTACTCATTATCACCCAATTTAACATTCTGAAGACAAGAGAATGAGCCTGGAAAACTCAGCCATCTTCTGACCCAACCACGGCGGTCCCAGCACATCAGGGCTTGAAGAACATTAATGAGGACAGTTGCATTGTAGCAAACCAGGCTGTGCCCCTCCTGCCAACAAGAAATCCAAGTCTGAGCTACTCTCAGCTGCATGTGATTACAGTCCTTCCCAGATCCACATGGAAATCCACAGGATTCAGTCCAGTTTTTAGGTGCATCGGGCACCAAAGCACACCCATGAAGTTACAGAATGCTTCAGACTTCAGCAAACCTTCATTTATGGTCTTAAATAGGAAGAGGCAACTTGCATAGGGACCCAGAATCCAGCACTGACAGAGTTAATGTGCTGAGAAGCCCTGCACTGGAAGGCTCTGCTCCCTCACCCATCATGAATATACTGTTCTGGTTACCAAAATAGCTGTATTTGGAAGGGTTGAAGGCCAGAAGCTCACTGCAGTACCCACTCTTGCCCTATGCACTGCTCATTTTAAGGTCAGACCTTTAGCATCAGGAATCCGTTAGAAGAAAGAGGAATCGCTTTAAAAGTTGTTGCCACTCTGGGGATTACCCTGGAAGGTCTGAGAGGGTAAAGGAAAGGGCAGGGGCAGATAAACACTTGGCCACATGAAAAATCAGCTGCCCCTAGATTTCAATACATCTGCATAAACCTCCCAAAACTGCAGCCAGCTTGTTCTTCCTCACAGTGTTTCCCAGTCACCACTCTCATTCTGCAGCCCTTCCTATGCCACAGCAATGCTAACACTGTCGTTGTCAGCTGAGTTACTGTTTAATCCCTCCTATCTTGATTAATTGCATTAAATTGGTATACCTATGTTAATTAAACAGAAGATGGCAGAGGCAGCTTTTACTTCTTGTTCTTTTGTGTAGATCATTTCCCAGGGCTTCACAGGTTGTGGAATAATAACAATACAGACACACCACACGTCATATTTCAGCACAGCTGATAAAGCTATTTTACTCATACGGTGGTCCATGATTCTTTTTGCATATCACAATATAGGTTTAATTACCACGCTGCTGCTGCATGGCAGCTCTTCTCGCTCTTTCTTTTTTTTTTTATTTGTATTATTTGCAAGTCATAATCATGTTTTCCTGTCATCCCCAAGCAATGTGCATGCGTGCGTACAGGCAAATGCCAAGCCTGGAAAGGAAATTTGATGCGTGTCCATGAATTAGAGTTTTCAAACTTTGGCTGAAGATTAGTACATGTAAACATAGCTCTGCCCCCTTCATCTTGGATAATTGGTCACAAATGCTACTTGACACTTCTCAAATCAGACACTTTACATACTTCTGAGCATAGCTGAACTTTTTTGGCAGGAATTAATTTGCTTTGCAACTTAGCTGCTCATTCCTGGCCCGATCCCTGCTCCAGTGATTTCAGGGCAGTGTTCTGCCAGTGTGAGGAGCACAGAGGCAGGACCAGATCTGTTTGCTAGTGCAGACGAGCCCGGCTTTGTTGACTCCCTCAGAAAAACAATTACTGCAGCTAATGTTCTGCCCTTTGCCAGCCTTGATCAACATCGGGAATTTTACCTTCAGGTCCCTCTTTCTATGCCAATAACTGAGCAAGTTACAATGCATCAGGGGACATCTCAATAGAACGGGGAAGGCGATGTAGCATCACCAGAAAATGCAACTTCTGACACACCAAGACCCTTCCACAGCCTTACCAGCTTTATGGGAGATGGTTACAGACACCATCCGAGGAGACTCTCTCACCTTTTTTTCCTGCCCCTCCTGCAAACAGTGCACGCTCCAGCAGAGAAGGGAAATCCATTTCTGGAGTAGTGATGGAGTTTGAAGCAGGCACAGAATGTCATGCTATTAAAGAGCCCCCTGTTTGCCCTGACAGTACAGTGTGTTTACTCACCGTGCACCAGGACTGTGAGAGCTGAGCAGACCATATGCTCACTTAGAAGGGCTGCCAGGTCTCGGGGAGCATTGCTGTGCCTATTCCAGGACGGGTTTGGGGCAGGAACACATTCCATAAAGGATTTCACTAGGAATATTGTATTTTATCTGGTGATTTGTTTAGTCTCTGGACTAAATAGCAGTTTATCAACATCTCCATGTAGATTTATGAATAACCAGTGGAAAATCTAATTTGCCCTTTATTCACTGGGATGTTCATAAGCATATTAAAAATACTTGTCAGTCTGTTCTTTTCAGCTATCAAGTAGGGTATGTGCCAGCATGCCCTCCTCATGCTGGCTGCTCCATCCAGAAAATGGAGAGAAAATGACAAAACAATGTCAGTTCTAGAAGAGGGTGACCGTTTGCATGAGTTATTTTAGGATAATTGCCTTGCTTCTAACACTAAATCTGTAAATTAGATTGAGCTCCTACCTGCAGAAGCAAAGGGTGGAACTTTGTGCTGTGCTTCAGGTGTAGACCATGAGAGGAGCAAATCCCTGGTGGTGCACTCGTGTTGCCTTGGTTCTCAGGGCTTCATGCAGCTCAAGGCACTGATGAGGAGTAGCCAAGACAGAAATAATCCCCACGATGTTTCTCTGGCCTCTGGTGGCTTGTGCCATGAGCAAGAGCTGACCCACAGCCCAGGGCCAGGGAACCAGATGCATCAGCATCTCCCTGAGTGCTTGGTCCCCACACTTTCCAATCACAGTGTGGTGGTGGCTCATCCCTAGAAAAGAAGGGTAGCTCATGTTATCAGAAATATGGCACATTCACTGTGGAGAAGCAATAATTGCCCCAGAATCTGCCATGGAATAATTACAAAAAAGACATTGCATGGTAGAATGTCTTGAGTTTTCATGAATTCCTACCCTAAAATAAACAAATTGAGATGTATTTTGCTTCCTTCTGTTTGAATCTGATATTTGAATTACTGTGGGAGTGGTGGGTATGATATTTCTAGGTGAACAAGGCAACAATTGGCCAAGAGATACAGCACAGCTCTAAAGTCTGAACTAAGGAGGATACTTGGTTTCCATTACTATTATCTATCACTACAAATTTAGCTTTCAGGTCCTAGACATTTTAAAATAACATGTCTAGTGTTAGAATAGGAGACTATGAGAAAAAGTGAATTACAGGTTACAGGCTTCCAGTATTTGCAGTAAAAGAACTATTACTGTAATTACACCTGTAGAGTACTCATTTATGTTGTTATTAGGGGAAAGGGATGGTAGAATTAGGATTATGGAAAGAAAACATTGCAGAAGGGGAACGAGATAGTTTAGCTGGGACAAAGAACTGTGATGGCTCCTGTGTTTTCAGCAGGTGAAGTCACCATGTGCGTGTGGACCTGAAACATCCAAGGATTTAGGTGAAACCACTATAGACCACCTATACCTGGTACAAATGGAAACCAACCTCAGCCCACAGAAAGGCCCAGCCTCACACTCAGCCCCTAGATTGGGAGCTGATACCTTTTTGTACCACTGAAAATCTCCATGGTCTTTGCTGGGTGCAAATGGGAATTGACTCCATGAGCTCAATTCTTCAGAGACAAAAGTCCTTCCCCTTCCTCAAAGGTCAAACCCAGATTCTTGAACATTTGAAATGAGACTAAAATAAGGAAAAACAAAATCTTTCTTTTCAGGGGAGAGGTGAATCTCCATTTTGACTAATTATTTTGTGGTGAGGTCTAAGTGGCCATTATTAGTCCATAGGTACTTGCTGGTGTAAATCCACTGCATCACCTCCTGGATGTCATTACTTCAAGTCAGCAAACTCGTGCTTCAGTGGCTGAAGATTTACTTGCTTAATGCCTGGTGTCATCAACAAATTCAGGCTGGCAATGACATCCTACTTGTCTAAGCTAATATACAGCCTTGCACTGTCCTTGTTTCCCTTTCCATTCAAACTTATAGCTCAGTGTTAGTGCCTACCAAAAAACAACAATACAGCTGAAGAGAATGAAGTGATGAATGAACATGAGGTCTGCATGTAGATAATTAGAAGTCCGGCTGGGTAGATCACATTATTTAATGTATCATCATTATGTTTGTATTTAAAAAGCATTTAAAATATATTATTTCTTTTATTACTCCATCTCTTCAGTGCTCTGACTCCAGGGATGAATTGTGCTGTGTGTTTTGGTAGAGATTTGTTTTCTAAAATATGATGGAACCATGTGGATCTTAAATCATTGCTGTAATAAGCTAGTAAGTTGTCCCTACTTGAGGAAACTCTTGTGTCAGGAGTAAAAGTCCTTGTTTGGCTGTGCTGCAAGAAGCAGGATGATATTTAATTATGACAGTTGAAACTCATCTCCAAGTGCAGACAATATTGATTTGTTCTAATATAGAAAAGGGGGAATTAAAAAGCTGGTTTATTTAGAAATTTACTTATTCCTAAAAATGTCTGTTCAGCTCATTTTTAAATTTGATTTCTTGTCCCGGGTGAATTACACTGCATTTTTGAATCTCAAGAACTGCCTGTGCCTGATAACAGCTGATCGAAGTACCAGCATAATTCAGTTGTTTTGATTGTAAGATTTTTGTTTGCTGCTTTATTGGACAACAGTGTTTGCAAAAGAGAGATTAAGAGCACTAGAGACAGAATTACAGCTCACAGTTGGTGCATAATATTAGGAAAGGACCACAGTCTATAAGTTCAGTGGCAAATGATACCAGCAAGCAGGCAAAATCAATGCCTGGTTCTGACAAAAAACCAGCAAGGAAAATCTGTGCCAGTGTCCCAGCATGACAAATGAACTTGAGCAAGTTGAAGATAATCATGATTATTTAATATTCCACAGCTTTACAACTTGATACTCTGTGGACAAAAGATCAAAAGTCTGCTGAATCCAAAGTTTTGAATCTTTGGGTCAATACACTTCTCATGTCTTCAACATTTAGTTTAATTTAGGAGGAAACAGTTCTGAGCTAAGATAAGATCTCAGACAAAATTGACGTGGACTCACAACATGGCCTAACATAACAATTTAATCTATCCTGTGCTTCCCCTGAAAAAAGGCTTAATAACTGTGGTATGATTTCACCTGCTGCTTCTAACATTTGCTCATTCTTTTTCCTGAGCAAATTTGGATTATCAGATGGCGAGCAGCTTTGTTCATGGTAGGCAAACTTGAATTCATTTAGGATTAATAACAATAGGTTCAATCTTGGATTCAATGGCAGTTCTTAATGAATGGAGTCTTTGGAAGACAATGTTTGTTTGTGTTAAAAGAGAAATAATTAATTCTCCATTTTTCTAGGTATGAGGTGATTATAGTACGCACCACAAAATATTTTCCCTGTGTTTCCAGCCCTGGGTATAAGAACTGCAGGAATGCTCCCCAAGCTCCAGCATTGCAGATATAAGCCATTTTGACCTTGTCATTTCAAAATCTGAAGTTTTGCAATGAATTGTTTGGTGTGAGGAAAAAAACGTCTCTTACTCACAGTACTGTCAGGTGCTCCTGGTGATGTGATGCAGGGCAGTGAGGAGAGAGGACGCTGCGATCCATCAGCAGTCGTGGCTCAACACAGGCTTACTTGGAGGAAGGAATCAAGGCTGGATCTGGATTTTGGCCCAATCCTCACCATTGTCTTAGACATGGGCATCTTCCAAATTCCTGTGGGAAGCCCCACGTTCTTCACTACTGTCCCTGTCTCTTGGGAAGCAGCCGGAGCACATGCAACCACTGTGCCTGGCCAGGAGAGGCTGTGCTGCCCAACAGCCGGTACCCACTGACCTCAGGAGAAATTAACAGGCTTCAGCAAATGTACCCTGCAGGCAACTTTACCCTGGAAAAGCATCGCCCACGTTGCTAGAGTTTAGGACAACAAATTAGAGCTTTTAATATGCACTGACCGCTTTTTTTTTTTTCTTTCCCCCCATCCCCACACCACCACCATCCCCCCTCCCAGCCCAGTAACATCCAGTTGCTTAATTCCATTTGAAATCACCCGGGTTAGGCACCTAAATAATCTTGTCCTTCATGCCTGTCAACATCTTGAGGCACCTAACCACCTTTAGAGATGTGGTGTGAAAGCTTGTGAACGATGCAATCGAGGAGGGAAACAAAAGACAAGTATCCCTATTTGCTGCCCAAGAATCCACAAAGAATGCTGCTTCAGCTCTGCTCTGATTTCTAATTAGATTATGAGTGATGTAGGACTCTGAAGCCAAGCTGGAGTTTGTGCTAGCACTTTGCATGTATGAATGACAAAGGGACACCACTTTCATATTGATTTAAGCGAGCCAGTGGAAGAATGTTTAAACATCAAGTGCTTGATGTCCCAGTTTGCCAGAGCACCTGGAAATATCAAATTAATTCCAGGTGTTCTGCCATTAAGACGGGCTTGCTGCTTTTACAGCCACACATACAAAATGTGGCTCCCAGTCCCACAAATAAAAACGGAATGGTTTCTGCTCCTAATGCCTCGATAACTCCGACATATTGCAAGTTCTGGAAAGAATTTTAATCTACATAGTTTTTTTTTTTTTTTTTAAATGGGGAGGGGAGAGGGGGGGGGAAAGATTTTAAATATGCTGCATACAATTTGTGATGGTCATCTCTAAAATGCAGCTCCATTATCCTTTTCCATTTGGAATGAATGAGGCTAATTAATTTCAGGCCATACTTGATGAGGTCAGCACCATACGAAGGGTGCGTGCTAGACATTGCTAATCTCTTTCAGCTGAGAGTGATGAATTAAAGATGAAGCATTCCTTTGCAGGCCTAATTTAGAATGTATATCAAAAACCTACAGCAAATAATACTATACCCTACAACAAAGGAAAACTTGTTCTCTCAGGCTCCCATGTAGGGTTGATTTTAAAGGCATTTTCATTTTGCTTTGGAATTCCAGCTGTGGATGGGTGAAACAGTTCAGAAAATTCAAGCTTTCTCTCTTTCTATTGCTTTTATGGACAAAAGTAGGCAAGGGGGGGCTATGGGGAGAGAGAAACTGGTCCATGTTTGATCCTGTATATCCTGTGATTCTGACTGTACACTGGGCGTTTAGGAAACCCAGTACCTGTGACGTGACACCCCCCCACAGCCTACACTCACATTTTACTGTCGGGGTTTCTTGAGTCTGAGGGGACAGCAGCCAAGGGTCCCCTTTGGCTCAGCATCATCCCAAGAATGTTTTGTTGGACACTGCAGGCAGGAAGCAGGACAGGTCCAGCAGTTCTGCTGGGTCACCCAATAAGAACAGGAGCTTCCAAGCCCTCACAGAGCTGTAATTCTACCCAGGAATAAACACCTCCCTATGCAAAAAGGTCCCATCACATCTAGAAGTGCAGATAGCAAAAGTGAATGGAATGAGTCACTGTGAAAGCAACCAGGTCTGGGATCAGGCAAAATTGCTACACGGATCCCAGACTGGCTGGAGTTGAGGCTCAGCCAAGCTTTACCACCTTTCCCTCAAGGCAAAGCCACCCACAAAGTCCATAGGGGTTTTCCCCGAGTGAGGGGCTGAAGGATTTGGCCCTGTGGGCAGCAAGAAGCCGAATTGTCATTTCGGTAAAATAGGACTTTGGTAAATTTGATTTATGAAATCGTAACCCAGCCTCGGAAAGAGGCTGCAAACAATAGACCATCGTGTTCCCTACCACTTCTCTGTTCAATACCTGGCAGTTTCTTGGAATTCTTGACAGGTTGCTGCAGCAAGTCGAAGTTCCCAACTGGTGGCCATAAGCGGCTGCTGTCTTTGTATCCCAGTAGTCCTCATTAGAACAAAGCTGCTTCGAATTAAATCCAATCTACATGCCGAATCAATCTTTCAACCCTTTGATTGCTTCTGAAAATATTTATACTTCTTAATAATGCACATTTTGTCCCAAAGCCTGTGATTAAACCCAGACAAGGTCCAGAGAAGCCTGAAGTATATGTGGAAGGGGTTATTTTGGACAGGAAAAGAAAGATAAAGACACAGGTTTTTCCTATTGTGAAACCATTAGAGTGTATAAATCTAGCAATTGCAGTTGTATAAGCATCAGAGTGGGGTTGTAATAAATACAGATTGGAGTATTATAGTAACCAAATGGAGTTTATGGATTATGTTCACTAGTTCATATTTCTCAGCTACTACAACCTAACTAGCTTCATGCTGCACTCACCTCTGTTAATATTCCCTATTAATATTCTCTTTACGTGTTTGTGGGGGGAAAAATAAAAGTTAGGATTCAACTGCTGCTCTGTGTAAAACAAATATGTTTAAAGAATCATGCCCTCCAAAGGAAAAAAATAAACACGGGGATGCTGCAAAGCGACTGCATTCGAAGGGCACGGGCTGTGGCTGGCTGAAATCGGCCCCGTTCTGCTGAAAGTTAATAACTTCCATCTGAGTGCAACCTGGTCCTAATGCAGGGCATTTGCTGCGTGAAAATTGGGGTGTAAAAATGAAGAAAATAACTTCTGCTCTCCCTTCTCCTGGTAAATTTTTAGGGGGGTGAATAACAAGCTTTGGTTGGCGATGAGAAACACACAAAGGCTTTGAAATTGTGCTGTGTGGTAAACAGCGTGTTATTCCCTTCTCCAAAAGCAGCATGGATCACAGGTGAGATATGTGGAGGTGAAGGGATGGATACATTCCTTGGTTGGGAAGTAACCCAGAGAGGGCCAGATCCTCCAGAGCAGGAATCTGCCATCGATTAAGAAGGTGGTGGTGGCTGGGGATGCAGATCAGATAAAGGCTCTGTACCTGTCTCCCTCCCTAAACACAAATGACTGCCCTTGTCTCTAACAAAAGGGAAAAATTGACTTTGGAAAACACGCCATGATAAATCTCCTTGGATAAAGCATGCAGTGCCTGGGTGAGAGAGAAAGAAATCCTAGAGGCTGAAAGTATGTAATGCTTATTTAATATCATTGTCATCAGCAGCATCAGATGGTAAATGCAGGTAATATTCTTCAGGAGTGGGCTGGTAAATGCTCGTGGTAGTTTTGCTTGTGACAGTTTCCCCTTTCATAAAGGAGGGAAAGAAATATTCTCAGTTAAATATTATTCATTGACTCTTTCATCACATAGTTCATTATATTAAGCTATAATTTCCTAAATATGTTGGGGAGTGGTATTATTATTATACATATATCCTGAGTCATGATGGCTATTTTGCATTAATGTATGATTTGGATGCTCAGTCTTTAAGGTAGAGAGAAGGGGGGAGTTTATCATCACCATAAATAAGGGGAGAGCAGAGACTGAAAAAAACCTCTCATAAATAGGGATGGATCCAAAATCTAATGACACGCATGAAAATCCATTTTGGACCAGTCCCCTACCAGAACTCTGTGTTATATAACCAGCATTTTCTGAGTGTCTTCTATTGTTTGACAATCCTGATTTCACACTGAACTTGGAGTTCATTTATGAGCAGAAGCTTTTTGTATAGAAACTTTAAATCATATCCCTTCGTGAACACACACATACCATCGAGGATATTGTCTTATTAAAGAGTTTAAGCCTAAAGGTGTATGCTTACTTTTAAAAGAAATTTTCTGATTGTAGATAACTGCTCAATTTGATTTAGTGTCCAATGATAGTGATGGGGTTGATAACTGAGCATTCATCGGTAATTCATCTTGTGCTAGTAGAAATTTACAGCAAAGCAGTGCTTTCCCAACACTGACAAGTCCTATTAATCTTCTTCAGACACATTTCAATAGGTGTCTCCATCTGTGCCCAACATCTAAACACTCTGGCATCACTGGGGACTTGGAGACACCTTCATTTCAGGTTACACTAGTGAAAATGTGATACTAGATTGTACTCTATTTTTAACCTAATTCTCTCTTTTCATTCAATTAGCCTTTCTTGCCTGCATTTTTCTACTCATGTGTAACACCTTTTTCCCAGGAATAGCTTAAAAATGAGTTTTCGTTACTTAAGGAGACAGAATCTGCCAGAGCAAGAGCAACCAGGGGCTTAGTACAGAAAAGCAGAATAACAAAGCTCAGGGACATAACGTGGAGAAGGAATTGCCCGTCATCAAACACATCCTGAGCAGCATTCCCACAATATTCCCCTCCTGATGCACCTCTTGCAGGCACCACTGGGTTAGGATAGGTCTGAAACTAAACACCTCAAACCTGCAAACAATTGCAGGATGTTTGGGTGTTGAAAACCCAAACACCTCTGTTTGTTCGTGCTGCACGGGGATCCCCATCCATCCATCCCCACTTTGCTTTACATATACAACTAATGCATGAACAAACACAGAGCAGTCAAATTACAGCAATAACATTTATGGGTGGATTATGTTCCAACTTCCTCACTTATTATTAAAAGCGAGTAAATTGCGAGGCACATGGAAGAGGTAGGGTGCAAATGCAGGCGAATTTCCACTCTGAACCAAATGTTGTTTTTTCACTTTCAAAGCTGCGATGAGTTTGCGAGCAGACGCAGCACAGCTTTAAAGCTTACTCATTCAAAAATGTGTGTTTGGGTTCCTTTTTTTTTTTTTTTCCTCCCCTCCTTACTCCATTTACGTTTGCCTTTCAAAGAGGAGCAGATGCACACCATTTGGGTTTGGGTGGCTCCTACTTGCTCTGAACTTTCTTCTGAAAAGAGCAAACCGTGAGCCGTGCGTCTGCTCCACGCCTCAGAGGCAGTTTCAAACTTTGTTTCTGGCTTTATGAAGTTCTCTCGTGAGTCATATTATAGATCTAAATGACCTTATTGTAGGTGGCAAGTTTAAATGTGCCATATTAATAACTTGTTATCCAAGACAAATTAAGTCCTTATGTGTCAAAAGCACTCTGTTCTGGATTACCTACAAGACAAGTATTTATTGAATAAACGTTGGATCCAATTTCATTTTAATGTGACTGACTGTATGCTGCAGCCCCTTAGAACGAGATAAAAACACTCAAACCTACAACTGTGTTGCAACATTACACCTAACTTGTCTATTTCTATTATTGTCGTTTTAACATGGGATCTCAAAAGTGTTTGGGGGGTTTAAGGATTTATTATTATTATTATTGTTATTATTTTTTCTGAAGAGCAAGGAGAGAGATAGAAAAAAAAGACTGGCATTCAGCCTAAAGAGAAATCATTGAAACAAATTAATCCTATGCCGTTTAAATTGACATGGTAATCCATCATCAGCAAAGGGAAACTCTGAAAGCAATCTAGAATCTGCAGTGTTCTTTCACTGGCCCTCAGGCACAAAGACAGATAGTAAAAGAGGAAGGGGGGGGAAAAAAATCATAAAAGTTAGCAGCACCTTAGCATAGGGAAGGGCTAGAGAAAGCAGCTTTCACTTTTTCCTGCTTTCAAGCACCCAGCTCAGAAAGCAGCGCTGATTAACCTTCAGTCACTGCCTGCTAACGTTTCCTTGTGTGTCAGATCATCTTCAGCTGCTGGGATAGGAGTTATTTCAAATAGTGCAGAGCCCCCATCCTGTATAAACTCCACCATTGAAAACTCTGCCAAATATCAACTTGGGCATTTCTGCTTACAGAGAGCCTTTTATTAGCCTAAACTTGATCATTCCAAATGGACAATAAATTCTATCTGCACAGCCCTGGAGAAAAGAGCTGTACTATCCTTGGGAGTTTAATAGCCAAGATTTTCATAGAGCTAGCATGAAAAAAAATAGGGGGGTTTATTTGGGTTTGGACTCGGGGTATTTTTTTTTGTCTATCCCCTGCTTTCTCAGTGGAGCTATCCACCATAATGTATGTTTCCCAAGGGATTTTTCAAACTAGTTTTAAATATCTAAAGTGATGAGACTTTGTGCACCTTTAAAATTTTATTAGACTTATGGTCAGAAGAAAACATAAACCTCTTGGGCCTTGAAAGCCCATTGCAATACAGCCATTATCCCTATAATGTCAACAGAGCTACAAAATTCTCAAGAAATAAACCTTTTAAGAACAGCTTTCCCTGCTTCATGTTTTCTTTTAAGGTCAGTGGTGCATCACTTTTTTGGAAAACGTTTCCCCTCTCTGGCCAGGTTTAGCAAAGTGAAATAGAATGTATATTACTAAATGAATAGGTTTAATTTTAGACACTGAAAAAATAAATAGAAGAAGAGAGCCAGGGCAGGAATAATACCTTTCAGTTAAAAACAGACATAGTAGAAAGAAAAAGTCAGAACTTTAGTGCCAGGGGCAAAGGGGTGAAAGGCTGGCTAATATGAACCATATCCAACATCTGCCCTATTTTAATTTAGCAGGGATAAAGTTTCTTCTTTTTTATTATTAAGAAAACTTTATGTGGCAGAGAAACCCATGAGCTATGTTATCAAAACTGTTTTATTGTCACACTGAAACTTAGAACTATTAAGAATTGGCGGGGCAAAGAGATAAAAACTCCCCTTCTCTCTCCTTTTATACTCTGTGACAAGCCTGGGCTCGGGTCCTGCTGACTGGGATGTCCTTTTCATGTCTTTATGAAGTACTGCACTTGGGGCTGTAATATAAAGGGGAGGTTAATTGTTCAGGATGGGTCCAAATGATTGATTCTCCAGGTTTAAAAAAAAAAAATTAAATTAAAAAAAAAATCTGAATATTTAAAACAAAATCCTGACACAGCCGTCGCCCTCGGAGGTGAGCAAAGGTGGTGGTGCACAAGGGTAAAGAAGGGCTGGACGGGGGACCTGTATGAGAAACAGCCCAAATTGCCAGCCTGGAACATGATCTCATTCCATCTAAAAGTTTTCCACCTCGATAGTGCAAATTCCACTATAAAATAACAAAGTATACCAAACCACATGTGGGTAGCTGTAGGAGTAAGAGAGCAAATTGGTTTCTGACAAAAGAAGGATGAATACCTTCGGATAATCTAAAGTTAAAATTTGATTGAAAGCATAACATTCCTCTAAGCATCAATATGCTTAGGATCCAAAATATGGTTATTTTATTACCAGTTAATACTTAGATCAAAGCAAAACACTGTAGCTGGAAGGGACATTCTCTCTGGAAATAAAGTTCCATGTAATTATTTCCTATTAAAAACTAAAACTGGTCTCAGATTCAAAAATTTGGGCTTCCTTACATGTGATATAATGCAAACTTGTCAAGAGAGAGCAGATGTACCATTTTTCACTGTTTGCTGGTATCTCTTTGCTTTAAAGTTTTCGGTTTAGCTTTAACTCTTTGAATGTGAAATATTCTCATCCAATTTACCTCGATCAGACCAGGGGGACTGTTTTGGATTATGTTGACTCATTTCTTATGATAAGCAATTAGGATTTGATATAAGCTAACATCATTTTAAATAAAGCCTGCAAATCTAAGGCGGTGAAATCTAAAGAAAATGATATGGCGATGGGTAGGCAGCTGAAAGTTAAATATTAAATTGTAAACAAGGGTTTTACTCTTGGGCAAAACAGCTCATCTTAATTCAATTCGAGACATGGACTTTAAAATATGCACTCAAAATACTTCCAAGAAAGCTGCAACCTTTCAGAGGAGAGAGATAAGAGTGTATTTTAATTATGAGGTTATAAATATGCGATAGATTTAATTTTTTTTTTACCAACTCCTAATGTGCTACGTAACATTGTTCAGATGCAGTTATACATTTATCTGTCTGTCTCTATTCCTGTCTAGGGTTTTGCTTTTATTTTATTCTTTTTCTTTTTTTTTTTTCCTCCTGATAGCTCAATCTCTATTTATGGCATTGCTGAGGCAGGCCCTGGGAAAAAAAAAAAAAAGAATCTATCCTTCTGTATTTATAAACCACCACAGAATAAATAGGGAATGGTTCCTTTTTACAACTGAAGGGCTGGTATTATAAGTAGCAATATGAAATATTTAGACACATTATTTCAAGCTTCCCGGCTGCTTCTGATTCTGCTAATTATTTTTGATCTGTCACTCAGAAATAAAAAAAATAAATAAATAAAACTTTAAAGAGTTCATTAGGACTGCGGAAAGGAAGAAGAGTCAGATATAAGGCAGCAATTATAATTTGGTTTTAACATGTTTTTTTCATTTTTTGCTGACTCCTCAGCTACATTGTTTAGCAGAAGGATGGCTATAATATACTTCTACATTAAAGCCTGTTAAATAGGGAAGAAGCTGAGACATTCAGCTGGGATATTGTTTGCCAGCTCAATTAGTATCCCAAGAATTTGAAAGTACAATAAATGTATCTGAAGATCATATCTAAACATACTTACCAAAAAGTACCCACCTCTTTCAGCAGTTCAAATATTTCTGCCTTCTAACTGGGAGGGGGGAAAAAAAGAGAGAAAAAAAGGCAGTTCGATGTGCAGGTTAAGATTGGCGTGTGGTAAGGTTTGTGTGAGATACAAAGAAATCTGTATTTCACTCAACAATTTCATTGCTTAAACATATAGTTTAGAAGCATCTTTTCCTTAAACATGTGGTTCAATAACATTTTCTTCAAAGGAACAACTCAGTGTGTTAAAAGATTTAAGAACAAAGAATGTGCTGCAAAATGCAAATTCCTCCAGTGTTATACTGTGTATGCAATTATGTATGTAGGCAGATAGATATAATTTGAGAGTTATTAACTTTCAACATCAATGGTGTACCCTGAATCAATACAATGTAACTACCTATTAAAATATAAACCAGGTGTGTTCCCAGGCAAATACAGTCTGAGAAGCTTTTCTAGATTTTTTTTTTATTATTTAAAGATTACAGCTCTACTGTGGACAAGAAGCTCAAGAGATTGGTGCTGGTCCTAAAGATGGAGATTGCTTTACTTTTTGCTGATGATTCTAGAATGTTTCATTTCCTCCACGTTTGGGGAAAAAAAAATTAGAAATAATAAACAATAATGAAATGGTGTAAAGGGGATGAATTGCCTCACAAACATCCGTACATTTATGCACCTCCGGATGCTTGGGGAAAAAAAAAAAAGAAAAGTTCCCTATTTCCATATTTCCTTTGGCTGAAGGGAGGGAATGAAGGGAGCAGAAATCATTTTAAGCTTTGCCCTCCCGTCAGATCGACCCCTCTTGCAAATGCCTTTCTCCTGGCCGCCCTCCCTCGCTCCCCCGAGCGCACAGCCCGGCGCAGTTAACCTTGGAGCGGCGCCGGGGAGGGAAGGGTTAATGAAACCCAGCTCTTTACGACCTCCAGGGTCAGACTCTTCCTATCTGCAATCTAAGGAATTAGGTAAGGAGGTTATAAGATTATAGTGAAAGGAGTTATAGGCCCTCGTAGCCTCACACCTGAACATATTGGGCTAATCCACTGGGATTCTTAAAAATCGCTTCAGCTATGGAAAACTGTTAATTAGGCTGAGTCTGTCCCGAGGTTTCCTGTTGCATTAGAGATCCAGCCGAGCTGCCTGTGCTCCATAGGCTCACATGAAACGCTCTCAGTATGCCCATACTTTTTGTCCCTTCTCCGCAACTGAAATCACCACCAGCCCCTGATTTCGGGGTACAAAATAAAAGCAAAGCTGGGGGAAAATGCAGCCCGAGAGATGAACAAAAGTCAACCCCCTCCTGTCCCTGAGCCCTGGGTGCCCGGCAGGCTATTTGCAGCTGTTTCTAACTTCGGTGTTTGTTTACAGTAGCAAAATTAGCACTTGGAGGAGAAGTGAAAAGCTGTTTTCACATCAGTTTTACTCCTCGGTTCCTAGCTGGAGATGCCTTTCCTCCCTCCCAGCAATCAGCATCATTTAAAGTGCGGTACAAACTTTCTCTCGCTGCTTTGGCTTAGTTCTGTGCAGTCGCATCCTATTTTCTGCTAAAGAAAAATACGCGGAGAGAAGGTAGCATGTGAACACGGGCCAAACATCACGGATTAGAGGCAAAAACAATTAAACATAAATAATAATAATAATTCTGAGCATCCCCAGAGAACGTATTTTAACGTCGCATGGTAGAGCCCTGCCCTACTCCCAGCTTTCTGCCCTTTGGCACTCAGATATTTGCTTGTCTCCAGCAAAGTTTTCTTTAATCCGCCGAGACACCCCAGGGCTGTACCTGAGCCACGGCTAAATTGCTCCCTACGACCGATAAAATCCTGCAGCAGCAACTCTCCAACTTCAATACTTAGAGCAAGGGCTGTTTTTAGCCATTTTGTCATTTGCAGAAATGCTGAATTTTATTTTTTTTTAATTTTTTTTATGCCACTTGTGGTCACCCTCGAATGGCAGTAATCTGTAGATTACATATTACGAGCCTTGTCATTACGTGGATAAAATGAGGTGGTTAAACGCTAAAATCCATTTTACTCACCACATTTGCTTGTGGGGAGGGAGGGGGGCGGGAAGGAGAGGGGAGAACAAACTTGTAGGAGAAGGATTTAAACCCCTCGGATGGGAGCTGGATGTGCCCTCGCTTCTGCTGCCAGAGCCCTCTCTGCCTGGCGGGTACACGGGCTGGGCACCCCTCAACTTCACCTCCAAGGCAGGCGCCCGGTTACTCCAGCCCTCTCCCTCGCTCCTGAGCCTTTTGTCCCCATTTTCGTGGTATCTCAGCTTTGCTCCACAGAGGCGACTTTTCTCTGCCTCTCCTGGATTTGCTCTGTAGCATTTCTAGGCTCCCACTCTGCAGCTCTCCCCCCGTTTGCCTCTTTCATCTGTGTCCCTGATCCCTCTCCAGCTGATGTGATTCTTTAGAAATGTGGGTCTTATCCCGTCCCTACCTTTGCCGGCTCTGATTAGATATTATTTTTTCATTGGCTCTGCTACAATGGGTTCCTCCCTTTAATCTCTCGGTATATTTTCCCCCTCCCGGTATAACCAAATCCATGAAATTCACAGCCTCTCTCTTTGACACGACTGGTTCGTCTAATCACTCCATATCGATTTCCCTAACTCTTTTCATCCAGCTGAAGACACATTTTAAAACACTCCAAGCCAGAGTGTGCTCTTTGCTTTATACACACTAATAAAATGATTTACCCTTCTCTCTCTGCTCTCCTCACAGGAGAAAATCGTTCAAGTCGCGGCTATTTGTGTGTGATCAGTAAATATTTAGTGTGGCGACATCCTCAGCTCCTCTCCTGATCAATACGCAACCCAACAGGAGGTGGACTATTGTCCGGGTAGTGACTTGCTGAGATCTCCTTTAGATGAATTCTTTGCCCCCCATACTGTCTGTTATGATTTATCCTCGAAGGTGACCAATAAAGAAAAACTGAGTCTTTAAAAACGTCTGTTTCTAACCTGTTTACCGTGCCATTAAAGCACCTAAGCAAGGAATGCCTTATTCATCCCCGTCTCCCATCTCCCTGGGATGGGCTGACACACGCAGAGCGCTGCTGGAAAATGGGGTTCAAAGCGAGCAGCCCCCGCACCGCTGCTCTGCATCCCCGAACCCCCCGATCCCCTTTTCCCCGACCTCTCCAGTGAAACCCCGTCCGCTCCCTGCGCTGCAATGCCACGGCGAGAGGGCGATTCCCCGCTCGCACCCTGCAGCATCTTCGGGCACAGGGCACAGCTCAGCCTCAGCGGGTGGGAACGATGTGCCCAGGGATGCAGGGTGCCCCAGCAACTTCCAACCCACCTCCCTCCTCCTCCTCATCGCATCCCGCGGCTCTGCCTGCCCCAGGACCAGGCTGAGGCAGGGCTGAGGGCTCAGTGGTTTTTTGTTTGTTTGTCTGGTTTTTTGTTTGGGGTGGTTTTTTTGAACGACATGGAAAATCTGCAGTGAAGAAGAAAAGAATAATAATAATAATAATGGAAATGGAGAAGAGCTTAAAGCCCGTTTCCTGTGGTTAACCATAACGAGAGCTTTCCCAGAGTGATAAAATGGGCAGCAAGAGAAGTTCGCGTGTGTATGTGTATGTTTTATCCTGATCTGCTATTTCACCCCTGGGAAAGCCAATGCCTCCCCTTGCAATTACCCCAGGGGTGTGCTGTGCCCGGTGAGGTGTCCGAGACAGCAGTGCCTGCTGTGTGGGTGCCTGTCTGATGCAGGCTGGGTGCCTCCACACAATGGCTACACAGTTATATCTGCATCGTCTGTGTGTGCTCACTCACATCATGTCCTGCAGCCCACAGAGGTGCCCAGATATTTATTTTATTCCCTTGCGTGTGCATTTGCACCTCAGCTCTAGGTCGAAGGCGTTTATCTCTGCAAATGGACATTGCCTGCACAGGCGCTGCATAAATCCAGGACTGTGTATTACAGATGTGCGACTGTTATTCAAATGTAAAACCAGCTACATCCACCTGTTAACTTTGTTTAGAAACCACTTTCACTAATGGCTTTTCTCGAACTTATTCAGCCCGTTACTCGAGTATAGGAGGCAATGGAGGGGAAAAATCCATATGAAACCCTGCTCACAGCCTCTCTTCGAGAGGACACTTTCCACACCTTGCCTAGACAGGGCTCCTATAGAGCGCTTATCTCTCGAATATATCTTTATACTAATGCATACTTAATTGGTCTGTCTTGACTGTCCATATAAAACAATTTAATTAGGGTGCTTTCTGCTTTGGAAAGAAAGAAAAAAAATCTGCCCAGCATTTATTGTATTTAGCACCAATACAGGCAGAAAATGTTGCACAAGTTTTTGGTTGAAAGAGCACCTATGTGTCCATTGAAGGGCGTTGATCCGAAAAGACAGAGAGGACAAGTAAAATCGATTTGAAGCAACCCTCTCTGTCCCTTTCACACCATTCAGACACTCCATTCCTTCTAAGACAAAGACCCAGCGCCTTGGGAATGCTGGCAAGGGAGGGGGGAAAAAAGGAGGAAAAAAGAAAAAAAGAGGGGAAAAAAAAAAAAAAGAGGAAAAAAGCTTCAATCCCCCCAAGCAAAAGGGAGAGCTCTGAAATTCCTTCATATTGCTGCTATTTACCCCCGAAGATATGTTCAACTCCAGGATTTTCTTCAATTCGGCGTCTAACACTGCTGCTGCGAGGAATGTCCCTGGAAGGGGAGGAGGTAATTATGGCTATTAGTGCTGCGAGCCCAGCCGCAACCTTGGTCACTCGCAGGCTTTTAGGGTTAAAATAGCCCTCACCTCTGACCCCTGCGGAGCAAAGTTGTAGCTATTGCCACAAGTTGGGCCAAAGTTTTCAAATCCAGGGCTGGGCAGCACCGGAGGGGGCAAACTTCTCCCTGGAATTATTTTTGGTTGGGATTTAAATCATCTTTAGTCTATTTAATTGCCTTTCCCTCCTCCTTTGGCCAAACAATCCCTTTCGGAGAGGTGGGGGGGATTTCAAAATGCCCTGCTCTCACTACCTTTCCCACTGCTCTTTCCATTTAGGTTTAATTTGGCAGATTGTTTTCAAGCATGAAAATGGTTATCATCAAACTGAATTACTGGGTCAGCCTTTCATCCAGAGATCTCAAGAATAAAAGGGGGGGGGGCGGGCGGGCAGGGGGCTCCCCCCTTTAGGCTTTCCCCGCCATGACCCGTTCAGCTTTACAAAAAAAAAAGGAGCATTTGGAAAAATGAAGAAAGGACAAAAAGCTTAGATTTGTCTCCTGTGCTTTCTGCACACCTTCACGATCCTCCTCTGCAAGGGGGGATTTTGGAAGGGGGGGCTGGGGGTGCTCAAACTGAGGAGGGGAGGAAGCCCACAGATGCAAGTACCCCTCTGGCAATAATAAAAATTCATTCAAGTGGGCTATGTCTCCATCTTCCATGTACTGATTAGACTTAACAAGAGTGGAAACTTGTGTAGACCATATTTATGGTATTAACAAGCAGTTAAAAGATTTATCCTTCTTCTGATCAATATTGTTCGTACCCGGTCCTTCCCCCCACCCCCGGGCCCTCCCCGAAGGCTGCAATGACAATCGCCTTCATACTTTTTCATCACCGATCGAGGTGGCAAAACCCTTTTGTAATTTTCATTAGCCCAGTAAACATGCAATTAACATGCAGCACTGTGGTTAACTTAATTCCTGTTTTAAGGCAAGGACAAGCAAGAAATGGAAGAGCGTTTGTTCCATTTGTCAAGTATGACACACTCCCTACCCTAACAGTTTCTTAAAATAAAAGCTCGGCTCCCCACCACCACGACCACCACCCCTCTTTCCAGAAACCCCCCACACTGATACACACACACACACAAAAAGGAGCAGGAATCCATTAGTTGGAGAGTATTCTCCTGCCAAAGGCTGTATAATGTATTCCAAATTTTCCCAAGCCCTCACTGTACCGGGGTCCCGTTCCCCCCACTCCCCCCCTGCCATCCTGGGGAAGGGGGCTGACTCGCTGATATTTCTCGTGGGTGAAAGATTCAGCCTTTTCCTAACCGTATTTTTTTTTTTTTTAATAAAATAAAAACTAAACGTGCTTCCCATGACTAAAAGTTGCCATGTTTGTGAAGGGGGTGGGGAAAAATGTCTCCAAGGGTTTCAATTAGCAACAAATGATTATTGCAACGGATTTTTGGTAATGAAAAAATGTGGAGTACCTCTTTCGAGCTGGGATCTCAGGGGCAGTGTGAGAGAGAGAGAGAGGGGGAGAGGGAGAGAAGGAGAGAGAGAGAAAGAGATTGCTGATTAGCTCGGATTCTTTCCCAACTTGCTTTAGCGTGTGCTTGCGTTCCCTGCCGACCCTACACAGGACACTATATATTTTTTCCCCTTCGGTGCATGTGTTGATAGTCCAGCCTGTAGTTGTTTGCGGTTGGCTTTTTTTTTCCCTTTTCGTTTTTTTTTTTTTTCCTGCCGGGGAGGGGGGAGGTGGAAAAGGGGGGGAGGGGGGTCTGAAATCCGTCGCATCCTACCCCCACAGTCATTAACTTAGGAGATTTCCCTCTCTTATTTTTTTTTCTCCCCAATTGGAAGGGTGGGTTGTGAATATTTTTCCCCTTTTTTTTTTTTTTTTTTTTTAAGTCTCGCCTTTCCAGCTCCAAACAAGGTGTAGCGAGACGCTCTTCCTTCTAAGGAATGAAATGAGACAAGGATCACTCAAAGACATCTCCTACCTTGGGCTTGGGGATTTTTTCTTAAAGGCAAGGCGCACATTCCTAAGCAGCTGTGTACAAAGCCCCCCCTGAAATCTTGTCTGTGTAAAGTTAGAGTGTGTTCAGGGTGTTTTTTTTTTTCCTCTCTCTCCCAAGGCTGATCGCTAATAATACATCGAAAGCACTTCCCTTTAGCTTGTGGGAAATCTATTCCCTTCACCTTGCTTCCTTTTTTTCCCCCCCTGAAGGCTGTAACTTTACTTTTTTTTTCTCTCTCTTTTTTTTTTTTTTTTTTTTTTTAAATCAGTTTGCACAATCGCTTAGATAAACACCAAGAAGGAGACTTCTCTTTAATTACCCAACGCACATCTTTCTGGGGGGCAAACAGCGGTCTGATTTTTTTTTTTTTCATTTGTTTGTTTCACCTGCCAAACTAAAGGAGAGGTAGAAAAAGGAAGATGCAAGCGATTTGGGACCTTGAACAAGGCAAATATGGTTTTGGTATGTTTACTTATAGTTTTTTTTCTTCTTCTTTGACACTTTTTTCGGGCAATGTGTTGTGATTCTTGTGTTTCTCTTTTAAGGAAAACAAAAAATCCAAAAAAGCAAATGTTAGCTAACGTGCGTCTTAAACGATCGTTTCTAAGGTTACGTGGGTTGCTCTAAGGAGGGGAAGAGGGGAGGGGGGCAGACCCAAGTATGTGTAATTGCAGCACCATCAGTTAGCACGTCCTTTAGCTAAATAAAGCAAAGCAGCAAACAAACAAACAAGCGAACAAACCCAAGGACTGGACCCGGCTCGCAGGTCCGAGGCAAAGCGCCTCCGAGCCATTTCCCCAGGAGCAGCGCCCGGGCGCTGCCGCCCCTGCCCGGCGCCGGGGCTGCTCGGGGGGGAGCGCGGACCGACCTGCTCCGGAGGGTGGGAGGGCAGGACGAGCCTCTTAACTTAAGTGATACGTATTAAACTGCCCGGGATCGCGTCGCCGTGTGCAGCTGGCAGCGTTTATTTTGGGGGGGAAGGAGGGGAAAAAAAAAAAAAAAAAAAAAAAAAAAAGGTCGGTGGTGAAGGTAGAGCGCCGAGATCCCCTCTTCCCCTCCGGTCCCTTCCCTGGCTAAGCAAGTACAATGGAAAGAAGCTGGAATATACTCACCATCCGAAGGTGTGGTTGGCAGTTCGGCTGAGGCTTTAGGCAATTATTTATCCTTTTTAAAATTTTTTTAAAGTATTATTGCAAAAGGCGTAGATCTGACTTTAAGCAGCAGAAGTGTTTTGCTCTGACAACAGCAAGCGAGGCACGGATCCTCGTTAAAAAAAAAAAAAAATCACAAAACAGGATCTCCCCCCCCCCATCCCTTACCACTATCCCTTAAAAATACCTATTCGGCACAGCTCTCGCAGAAACCCTGATGCAGAAATCTTATAGTCCGGTCTAGGAGTGCCCAAGCCAATTAATTTTAAATCCTTAGGAATTAATCAGATTAAAATGTACAGAAGTTTCATTCTCGTATGCATACGTGAGCCAAAAGTCGTTTCCCTTTAAGAGATCCTTTTCTTTTAAAGTTGAATTTTAGGCAGATAAGAGACTTACACTAGGGGGCAGCCAGATACTGTACTTGCTCCAATCTTAAGCAATTTTTTTTCCTCTCTCACAGCATATGCTCTGATTTAGCACTGTAAATTTTTCAGAGGACCCAACTCTGACAGCCCCTGGTGATTTTCAAAGTACCACAAGCCAGTGGTTAAAAATTGCATTGACTTGGAAGTTCAGAGGCACACAATAGGAGCCACTTTCCCTATTCATGGAACTTCAGTGTGGTGGAAGAGAAAAACACACACATACTACATTGAGGGAGAAGAGGAATTCATTGAATTCTGTTAGACGTAACTGCTTTCCACTGAGTTCAGAGCGAAACTCGGTATTTGTTCGATGCTGTATTCATATTGCGATTTAATCTAGAAAGAATTAGAAGACTGTTAGGCAGCTTTCTGCCAGGAAAGCAGCTTCCCCCTCCTTCCTCCTCTCTTTTTGAAACCTAAAGATTTACACCGGCTCTATCCCCAACTCTATTTTAGCAAAATAAATCCTTCCACTCCCTCTCATTAAAATAAATTTACATCTGCAGTAAAATGGCAGGAGGGATGCGTTTGTTTATTTGGAAAACCAACACGGTCTCACTTTTAAACCAGAGCATTTCTATTGTCATTAGCCTCGGAGAAGGACAGTGGAGAATCTCCCCCTTCCTTGCGAGGCGCTCAGGTTTCGAGGATTATTTAGCGAAATTAGCTGCAGTTCATTTTTACATTCATCTCTTCTGTCTCAACCCACTCGCAGGGGTGTTTTCAAATAAATAGCAAAGCATCTAATGGTGCTAATAGATAGTTATATCGCTGCATCCCTCGAAGAGCAAATAGTTAATCTGGGGCATTCTTCATTAATGCTTGAGCAATCAGCGTATACGGCGGCTTTTAAGCGTGTATCAATGGTTTTTCATTTTTACGATCATACGTTCAAACTATTAATATTGTGCGTCCTGTTAAAACCGCTTTCTCTTCTTATTTCTGCGTTTGTTAGGACTGCGTTTATGTTTTTTCATATGGTGAATTAATCCTGTTTACTTTGTCAGATCCGAGACAGGAAAGGTTGGTGTTGGGTTGTGGTTTGGGTTTTGGCTTTTATTTTTTTCCTCAGCAAATTCAACATCAGCAACAATCTGTGACTATTCTGCATTTTGAACCCACATCTTCTCCTGCTCTCCCCGAAAAGTGACCTCCTCAGCTCTGGGTTGTTTGGAAATCATAAGGCATTTCCCCACATTTTAACCAGGAAAGGTTGCTTTCCCACTTTCTGTCTTCCCAGTCCCTCCTGGTCACTGTTTCGGGTAAAGGTTATTTTTTGCTCCGTGAGGATCAATGGGATCGCTGGAGCCTTGTCTTTGAAATTGAGTCGCAAAAACATCTTCGCCCGTGGGGTTTGAACACACCAGGTTTCCAGGCAGGACACTCTAAAGTCGAAGTGCTTTTTACAACTTTCCAACCATCTCCGCACCTGCGGCTTCAGCCACATGTATTCTTTCTGCGGCAGAAGTGTGTGGGCATGTGGCAACATGAAAAAGTGTGTGTGAGGAGGTGAGGGGCAATTAGTGGCTTACAGAGTTGTGCCCAGGTCTGTGTCCCCGCGGCCGTGCTTGGTGACCGGCTGGGATGTGAGCGCTCATAGTCGCGTGTGTTCGCAGAGGAGGAATGGTCCGGCCGGGCATTTATCTGTCTATGTTAACATGTTTTCTATTTTATCTCTCCGTCCCTTCGCTTGTTCGAGTATCTTTTGGCCATTTTCACCGGGAGACGGACTCGAGTCCCCGCTCCGCTGGCCGGTAGCTCCATTCAGCGGGAAACAGACACGTCTCCGTGCTTGGCTCTGTTACCTGCTCGCGGTACAACACGGAGCTCGTGTTACAGTGTCGGGGTACGTGTGGTCATGAAACCCCCGAACCCGCAAAACCCCGAAATAAAGTTAAAGGGGTTGAGCCGAGCCACGCCGTGGCGATGCCGTGCGAAAGGCACGGCTGTCACGCTCTGCGGAGCGGCGTGCCGGGCTTCGGAGGCGTCTGGAGCGGAGCCGCGGTCCCCTCGCTTCGGGGCGAGCGGGAACGAGGAACGCTCGGGCGGAGCGGCGGAGCCCCCGCGCTCCGCCGGGCCCGGGCTGTGCGAGCGGCCGGTCCCGGAGCGCCGGGCGCGGGCACGCTCGGCTCGGCGAGGCTCAGCGCAGCCCGGCCGGGCTCGGCGCGGCTCCGCGGGCGGCCGGGGCACGGCTCGGGCGAGCGGCGGGACACGGGGCGGCCGCGGCCAGCGCAGGTGCCCGAAGCGGGGCTGGGGGGCTCCGCCGTGAGACCCCCGACGGGCGCCAGCCCGCCCTGCGCTCCCCGACCGCTTTCGGGGAACGCGCGGCCGCCCCTTCCCCGCGGCGGCGGCGGCAGCAGCGCCGGGGACTCGGCTTTACTTTATTCCACGGAGTTTCACCTCGGCTCAGCGCCTGCCTTCCGCTTCGCACCCGCCGCCCCCCTCCGACCCCCGGGGCCGTGCCCCGGCGGGCAGCCCCAGGTGAGGCGGCGGCGGCGGCGCCGCGCTCCGCACGCCGGGCTCGCCGTAACCCCTGGCCCCGGCGGGCGGAGGGCGCGGGGCGGCGGGCGCGGGGCGGCGGGCGGCGCTGGGACCGCGCGGGCGGCGGCGGCCGCCATGGCGGGCAGCGCAAGGGCGGCGCGGGCCAATGAGGGCCGGGGGGCGGGGCGCGCGCGCCTGGCCACTCAGGCGCCGGCCCGGTTGCCTTATAAGGCGCGCGGTCGCCATGGCGACGCGCGCTGAGTTGCAGCAGCCGTGTCAAAGTTCACTCTCCCGCCAGCGGGGCGAGCGGCCGGCGGGGAGCGCGCTCGCCGCTCCTCGGCCCACACGCCGCCCGCACCGCCCGCCCGCCCCGCCCCGCGCCGCCCCTCCCCGCCGCCGCGAGGGGAGGGGAGCGGGGGGGAGCCCCTGCTTCTTTTTATTTTGGGGCGGGGGGGTGGGGGGGAAGCGCTGGCGCGCTCTCCCCGTGGTGATTTTTTTCCCCTCCTCCCTCCCTCCCCGGCTGAGGAGCGATGCTGCGCGCTGGGTTATGATCCTTCCCTCTCTCTCTCTCT